TACTGCAACCTGTACAACTAGGGGCAACCAGCCAAAGGCTGGTAGAAGGCACTCCATAATGCTGAGGCTATCTGAGCCTGGAGAGAGAGAGAGAGAGAGAGACAGAGAGACAGAGAGACAGAGAGAGAGAGAGAGACAGAGAGAAGCACACTGTTCAGAACAAGCTGAACACCTCCCATCAGCTCAAAAGAACTGCCCACTAACAGCATTTCAGACTTGCTTCGATTGAGCTTTAGTTTACTAGCCCTCATCTTGTACATTGTCACAGACAGTCACTGATTTAGCACAGTCACAGCCTTACCTGTGTGTCATCAGAATGAAAATGGCAATGTGTACCAAAACTCCAGCAGATCCCACTTAGCAGTTTTACACAGAAAGCCACCACAAGATCCAGGAGTATCAACAGGATCTCCCATCTCTCTCCCAACACAGGTTACCACACAGAAAGACTGAGGCTGTTTCCATGCCAAAACACAGCCTGAACCTTGGCTGAAAGGGATCCAGAGAAACAGTTTTGCCTAAGAAAATCTGGAGCTGGTTACTACCACCCATTCGAATACTTTCCCCAGGGAAACAACATTTTGTCAGTGGCATAAACTAGTTGAGATATTCTGGATCCAGAGCGGATTTTGTTAGGAGCTGTCTCCTTACCCGCTTTCAGATGGCATGGGACCACTCCCTCTCACAAGGAGGTATCAATCACCTCCCACTGTCGATTTTTTTAAACTATAAGGGACAAGAATGCAGTACAGAATTGGTTGCATGAACCTGTCCATGCACCATGCTGATGTCCTTGAGCTTTTCAAACTGAAACTCATCCAAAACAAAAAGCAAAACAAAACAAAAAACCCACACCCACCTTGGAAGAGACTGTGCTCTGGCTACAGTAAGTGAAGGAGAAATTTTATCCTGGAAATGCCTGGCTAACCGCTTATGGCAGGCCTCAGATGGATCTACAGTGTCCAGCATGTAATGAGCCCCAGATGATCCTAAAAGGCAACACTGGGCAGCAGATTTGACAGAGGCAGCAAAATTCAGTGCCCCCACACTGTCCCTGAATACATCTGATCACAGGCACATCAGTGTTCAACTGCCTAAAAAGATTCTGCCCTCAAGCCTTTGTTTCAGCATTCTCAGATCCAGGGTACACTACAGAGCCATATAAGCTTCAGTGCAGTGAGGATGCTCACAAGCATACGTGTTGAATGCCCATGTCATTTCAACACGCCACAGACTGAACAAGGTTTTGGCAGGTAAGCTAGCCACATTAGCCAGGTACTCTCTTAGAGCCTTCTGGAAACCATCTGGATCCCTTAGCCTATGGGGCAGGCCATTTCAACAGTTCCCTCAGCCTTACAGAGGGGAAAAGCTGCTATGGAGCTAAACCTCAACAGTAGGTGATTCAACCATGATCTGTTCAGAGTCTCTGAACTTCTGATTTTCTCAGCTAATTCTACATAGTCCAGACCTCAACATCACCTCCAAGACCACCTCCACCAGCTCAGGCAGGGAGACTGCTGCGTACTGGACTGGAAGGTACATCAACAGTATTACCCATTTGTCTCACTGACCCAACACAAGATGCAAACACTCCATAGTAGCAGTCAGGTGGGCAGGAAGCCTGGAGAGAAAGCATTCTAACCACCCATGGCAATCACCCCTTGTTGCCCTTTAAGTCTACCCTACCCAGATGCTGAACCAAGCATCTGGGTGGGCACACCTGGGAGAGACAAACTCCTCCCCTCTGTTCACCCACCAGGTCATGGTTATGCATCAGCTGCCTCATCCACTAATCAGTAACCGAAGTCTTGTTTTGCACTCATTTGGCCTTTAAATGCAGGATATGGGGCCCTGAGGTCAGGCTGACAGGGCATGTGCCCATCCTGCAGGTGCTGGGTGGAGCAGAACACAGCACAGCCCTTGGCTGTCAGGGCTGTTCTCACCTCACCTTACCTAGCTAGCACTCCTCCCAGTGCAGTATCTCTGTCTACCCATCATACACTGATTGCCCCTCAGGCCCAGTTCTATATCCCCCTTTCCAGTCATATTCTCAGGCTACAAGAAGGGAGGCAAACCCCCACCAAAGACTTTACTTGGCCAAAATGCTGGAGGGATGGCTTGTTCTTGTGTCTCCCTAAAGTGGCTTCCCCCAGTTTGGGGGTTCATGCCAACCTTTCTTCCAGCCTGGCAGATAAAGGCTTTTCCTTAAGTTGAACATAGTTGGCTCTCATTCTTAAGTAATCTGAAGTAGGTTTCCTCCTCTTGCCATGCTGACAGCTTCTTCCAATAGCAGGAGTGACAGGTCAACACCTAACAGGCAATACCGCAGGGAAAAGCCTAGCAAACAGTAAAAAATTCTGCTCCCTTTCCTCTGGAGTGAGCCAGTTTGCTTCTTTGTGGCTTTAGGTTAAACATATGCAAATCAAATAAACAAGTCAGCAAGGACTTTTATCACTGATTTACTGCAAATCAGTCAGAGACCTTCCAAAAGATCAAGATCTACTTTCCATCTGTCCTTGCTTTAAAATCACAGGAGCCCAAGTTATTCCCCACAGTTCATTAGCTTTTTTAAAAAATGACATATCTGTCCTTCACCCCAGCCTCCTCCATTCAGAATTATTTTATTCAAAAGCTATGAAATTCTGACAACAAACATAACTAACATTTATGTGAAATAAACACAGAACTATAACTCAGATCTACCTGAAGTAGTAATAACACAATCAAGATAAATAAAGCTGAAAATTTCCCTAGCACTGTATCAAACAAAATCTATTCTAAACAGATTAGCCAGTCTTATGGGGACTTAAAGACCAGAGATGAAGCAATCTTTGTATGGTAGGAGTGGCCAAACCTAAGTGACAAAGTATTATTAAACTGACAATATAAAATGTAGCTCCATCAGAACTGAAAAGGGTATATTTGCATATCACTTTGTGAAAAACTGATTCTCCCAAATACTCTTTGACACATTTAATAATATTCCTAGAATAACTCTAAATACAATTCACCTCATGCTATTGTAATCCTTCTATAAAGGCTAAACTGCATGCTTAACAATGTAATCAAGTGGAAAACAAGCAGGTTGTAACAACTGAATGGGAGCATCTTTATGAAATATTCAAACATTTCTCTTCATTCAGTGAGTAGCGATCTATAAATTATAAGTGCTGCTGGCATTCACTTTACAGATGACATATAAAGAGGCAGTTAATATGAATGGATGTTTACATCTCTTATGAATGAGCTATACATTTACGGTGTCAGCGTAGTCTGCACTGTTGTCATGTGGCTGTGCACCTCATTCATAGAAAAGTACCCTCAAGTTGCTACTTCTTCCCAGGGCTTTTGCTTTATCAAGCAGGAAGGATGTGACTGTTTTGAATCACATTTACTACTTCATTTGATGCAACCATTTTCAAAAGTTACAGAATTGAGAAATCTAGAACAAGATTAGGCAAACTTTCAGGAACAGTTGAAAGGCACATTCAAATCTTTATAAATATCCTTCTACAGACCAGCCCAATATTACTCTAAAACTGGATTAAAATGTTGCCTTTTCACAAAGAGTAAAGACCTGCTCTCAAGTTAAGCAAAATATCACTGTTATTGATCACAGCCACATTCCTGGATCAGAACTTAAATTATCGATTGCAAAGTTTTGGTGAAAAAACCATTAGCTTCCTCTGAATTGCAAACTGACAACTACAGTCCAAGAAATGCACATCTGGTTCAAAGCTCCAATCAAGAAACAGGAATCTACAATTAAATGCCCACCCTCCAGAAAGATGAATAGAAGAGCATGTATGAGTTCTGAAACTCTTTTCTAATATAGTATTGCAATTCAATAGTACTTTTCATCAATGCCCTCAAGTCAAGTCCTCAAGCTTGTGATTAACTTGACTACTTCCTTCTCTTAGCTTGCCAGTGGCTGCCAACCTAAACTTTTCTGTAATGATTAGCACTCCCTATTTCACTCACCTGCCATCACTAAACTGACTCAACAAAATGCTTAGATTTGGAAGCAGGGGATTGCACCTGTGGGGAGACAACAAAGAAAGGGAAAAAGAGCAGAATGCAGGATGGAAGTGTCACAGAATGCACAAAACAAGCAGAGCTTTCTAATTCCCAACAGGGCAAACCTAGATTCATCACGCAGCATATCCTCAACAGGAATCTGCAGCCTGTTGTATTTTCCTAGTGAGTATACCTGTATTTTCAATCAAGGGTGTGCCTATTTTGCACTTTACAACTTAAAATGCACATGAAAAAGGCACAGGTCTGGTATCTTAACCACTCAAGACTCCACTGAAAATTGAAAAGTGTTAAAAAGCTGGGTCCACCTGACAAAGTTTCGAGGATAAGCAAACATGCAGGGCACAGAGTCTACTCAAATATTCTCTTTGTCAGTAGGAGTCACAAGTCTTTGTGGGTGGGGGAATGAGGGAAGGCAGAATAGCAAGAAACACAGGAACAACTTGGGAGCAGGTTACCTTCTTGGGAGAGGCACCTTCTTCCTGACCAACCTGCTCAGTCCCTCGGGACACTGGATGACATACCCCAGCAATGCCACATGGGCCTATGGCCCAACTGGAGAAGGCTGTGGCAGCGCCACCTCTCTGGAATTCCCCACCAACCAGGTGCCAGCTGTGTACTGTTGCTGCGGCCTCCTAAAAACACTTTTCAGAAAGCTGTCCGAAACTCAACGGCCACCGCGTTCTTGATTCTGTTCTTAACACATCAGGCTCTCCTGTAACATCTTTCATTTGTTCGCTGGTCCGAATACCGGAACAAGGGGCAGGAAATCAGCCCTTTAAGCGAGCGAGCGAGCAGATGAGCACCCGCACACACGGAGCCGGGATGGGGAAAGGATGAAAGGGCGGGGGAAAGAAAACTTCTGGACCGGGGGGAGGCGGGCGCAGCGAGTCTCGAGGCACCGGGAGCAAGTTGAGCCGCCCCCGCGGTCGGAAGCTCCTTCCCCGCGCACGCAGCCTGCCTACCAGCTGCTGTCGGATCCACCGCAACATCCCCTCGGCCGGCCGGCCGGCCCGACGGCGGCTCCGTGCCCCGCGCGCCGCCGCCCTCGCCCTGGGGCGAGCAATCGCCGCCGCGCCGTCAGTCGCCCCGGGAGCGCCGCTGTGCTCGTGGTCCTGCCCGCCGCCTTCGTCTTCCGCCGCCGCCGCCGCCGCTCCCCATCCGCGCGGGGGCCGGGCGCTTCCCTCTAGGTGCAGCGCGGAAGTCCCTCGGCCGCCGGCAGCGGTGGCAGCAACCGCCGCCCCCCGGTGGGTCCGCGCAGCTGCCACGGCTGCTTCCCAGCCGCCATGACGGAGCGCGCCCACGCCGCTCGCGCCCGTCGCCGGGGTCTCCCGCGCCCGGCCCGCCTCCAGGAAGTGACGCAAAGGGCGGGGCAGGGCGGGGCGGAGGGGACGCGGGGCGCCTGGAGGGAGGGAGGGAGGGAGGGGGGGAGGGGAGGGGGCGCCGGGTCGCTTCTTCCACGTGCTTGAGGCTAACGACTGTTTGGGGAGGCTGGGAGCCGGTGCTTGCTTAGTTGTGTATATAAAGTTATATAATTTATATTTGTATACCGCCTTTTTTTACGAGGAACTCCGAGTGGTTTACGTTATCTTCATTCTCTCTTATTCTCACAACAACCCTGTGAGGTAGGTTGGGCTGAGATTTGAGTGAGTGGCCCAAAGTGAGCTTCCTGGCCCAGTGGGACTAGAACCTTGATCGCCCAGGTTCCAGTCCAGCACTCGCACCACAGCACCATATGGGCTTTCTTACGGCGACAAGAACTGCCCGAGGTACCACAGAGCAAAGTCTACCATCTGAGCTGCAATTGCGAGTGGGGATGCCCTAATATATTCTATTTATTGATGCGATTTCTCTACGGCCCAATAACTGAAGCGTTTTGGCAGGTTCTCAAGCATTAAAACCACAAAATGCAGCATAATAAAATATTAACATTTAAAAATACTGTACAGAATTTTAAACAAACCTTGCAGCAGTGCAAGCATTTTAAATACAGTAGAAAAATTAAAGCATTAGAGATCTATCTTGTGGCCCCAGGGACGTGTCCCATGGATTATAGGAAGGACCCACTGTGCTCTAAGAAGGGAAAATTGGAGATTGAACGTCAACAGCTTCCACCCTGCAACAAGCTTGGAGAGAACAGCTTCAGCTACCTCTCCAAGGTTGGAAAAGCAAAGGGGGCTTTCAGTGCACCTGGAGAAGACAGGCGAATATAAGATAGAAGTTATCCCGAATCTCTTCCAGCTTCTCACTTTCTCCCACCAATATGCCCTTGCTAGATGGACTGAAAAATGAAAATGCAGGAGATGGAGGAGGGGGAGGGAACAATTACCTCTGCCATCCTCCCACCTGCTGCCTTCATCCTGGCAGGCAATAGGAAGCTTGGAAGCCTCTGAATTCAGGGGTTTCCAAGTGGTGAACATGCAATTGATTGCATTGTTCCCTGAAAGCCTCAAATGGGAAAAAGAGGTTATTTTGTGGTGTGAAAAAAACCCCCCAGTGTAGGCACCGAATGCTCCAGTATGTGCAAAGTAATTTAAATGTAGATGAAATTACCAGCACATCAGGGAGAAAAGTTCTACAAGCCATCCCTGCAGTGCTAAGTCTATTGTGGGAGGTTTGTTTCTTGTGAAAGCATTCAAAAATGAAGTTTCCCCCTCTGTCCATCTTAAGTTTGTAGGGACCATTCTTTTAGGACTCTTTATGACCGAATGGTATGGATAATTTACTGCAGTCATCTCTGAACCTGGCACTGCCCAGCTATTTTGGCCTTCAGTTCCAGTCTACATGGCCAAAATCAGAAATGCAGGGTACTAGTTCAAAGCATCTGACGGCTACACGTGGGGTTTGGGATGCATGCTGGTAGTTGTAACTTTTTTGTCTAAACACACACAGGATTGCACCTTTAATTAGTATCTCCATGGGAATCTCTGTAGATTGTGAAACAGGTAGGAATTGGAGGGTGGTAGTTTCAATGCAGGTTAGTGGCTCCAAAATCAGTGGGGTGGGGAATAGAAGCATAGAAACAAGGAGAGTCAGAAGGGGTCTCTCAGGCCATCTAGTCTGACCCCTGGCTCCAGCTGGCTCTGCTCATGTAATCCCCAACATATGGTTGACCAATTTTAGGATGCATCCTAAGGTTTAGCCTGAACTTTTAAAGGTGCTATCCATGATGCTGAACGCCATCTCTAAGTTAGGTTCAGCACTCCTTTGAAGTCTGTTATGAAACCTGGACAGGATACAGTGCTCCACTGACATGGGAACTGCAGACAACCGCTAGCAGTTTTCAAACTGTGTTCCAGGGAACCCTGAGGATTTCTCAGTAAGACAACCAGCAGTGGTGGACAAGCTTATTTGTAAGACATCTTATTTGCTGGCACCTATCCTTGTTAGTATGTACAGTGAATAGGCAATGGGAAATTGTCTCTTGAGGGAGAGAAAGACAGATCACAACGAAGCAGGCCAAAGGCCCACTGAAAGAGTCATAGAATCATAGTAGTCAAGATTGTGTAATAGTAGCCAAAGAGCAAGTCAGCTCCCTGTGGTTGCAAGTCCCAGTCCTTCATAATGCAACTAAGAATGCCTCTTTCGCTTATCCCCATCAATTTTACTTCTAATTATGATGGAAATACAGTAGGGCCCTTCTTTCTGTCTGTAGTAGACCACAAGTCTCACATAAGGGGAGAGTGTCCTTTACAGAAATATCCTGTGGCCCCTAGGCAGTGCACGGAGGACCAAGGGATAATTCCTATTCGAAGATTTGAGGATGGAAGGAAGATTCTTTTTTGAGGATCCCAGGGAAGGACTACAGAAGATGATCTCAGGGTATGAAGAAGTACATGTGAAAGTTGGCCACATATCTAAGAGGAGATGATCTTTGAGGTAACCTGGTTGTTCATACTAGCACTTTGATTTGAGCTCAGAAATGGTCTGACAGGCAATGCAGCTGGGAAAATACTGGTGTAACAGGGTCACATTGGCCGTCCCTGTTAACAATTTCTCCACCCTTTTTGGACCAACTGAAGTTTATGTGCTGTTTTCAAAGGCAGTCTCACATATAAGGGCTTGTATTGACATATAAAGCCCTAAACAGCTTGGGATCAGGATACCTGAAGAACCACCTACTCCCATCTGTACCTACCCACCCATTAAGATCTGAGTGAAAGGCCCTTCTTAAAGAGCCATATCCCAAAGAGGTGAAGGGGATGGCAAATAGAAGAAGGGCTTTTTTTGGTGGCCGCACCCCACCTCTGGAATAGGCTCCCTGGAGAAGTTTGTCTAGCACCTTCATCACTAACTTCATTACAGGTGAAGACTATTTTCCAGATAATTTAATAATTGATTTTTATCAACACACACACATAATTTTAAACTGATGTTTTAAGCTACTTATACCTTGTCCATATTGTATTATTTTATGAAGCATATTTATTTTATTGGTTTTAGTGGAAGTGTACACCATCCAGAGAGCCCTAGCAGGGCTACAGGCATGGATTATAAATTTAATACATACATACATACAAACAGACAACACAGTTCAGCAATCTAGATGAGAAGGCACACAGCTCGAATAACTGCAGTTAGGTCATCTCTGTCCAGTTAAGGATGTAATTTGTATAAGTGCTCTGTGTCACCAACTCCACCTGTGCCATGAGTGACAGTGCTGGATCCAAGAGCACCAGCAAATTGTACTGTTGACCATTTAGAGGGAGTGCAACTTCCTCTAGAACAGGCTGGAACATCACCCATCTGGGCAGGTGAACTACTCAGGAGCTTGGACCTCCATCGCATCCTGCACGAGCCGAAATATAATGACCTTCATCCAGTCTGTTACCATGCTACCTGATTCAGAACAGTTTTTGCCTCATCTGGATTTGATGAAAAGGAACAACAGCGCTGGTTGTCACCTGTATATGGATGATACTTCAGTCCAAACCTCCAGGTAACCTCCTGCCGTGGTTCATAGTAGATGCTAAATAGCATGCCTGATGGGCTAGAGCCTTGTGGAAGCCCAGCTGGCAAGGCACAGAGAAAGAAATCCCTATCACCACCTTCTGGAATCAGTCACCGAAGTTGGAGCAGAACTGCCATGCAGAACCTGCACTACCTTTCCAGAAGTATACAACAGTTAACAGTGTAGAGAGCCACTGAGAAGTCCAAGCAAATCAACACACCAATGTTGCTCTCGGCGTTGGTCTATTGACAAAATATAATCTAACAAGGTGACCAGCGTCTGCTCTAAAATGAGGTCTGAAGCCAGACTGAAATGGCTTTAGATAATTAGCGTCATTCAAGAAAGACTGGAGTCGAATGAGAACTACTCTCTCACGCACTTTGCCCAGGAAGGGCAGATGGCCTATAGTTGTTATCATTACCTGGATCCACATTTGGCTTTTGCAGGCATGGTCTAATGATCACCTCCTTCTCTCAAGGAGGGATTTACAACCTCCCATTTGCAATAATTGCTATCTTGAGATACATCTTGTTAGTATCTGTGAGAGACAAAACTTCAATTCATTCTCAGTATGCAGCAAACTTGAATTTTTAACAGCAGTTCTAACAAAACTATTGATTCAGGGAAATCAATCAACTTCTCTGATGCCAAAATGACTTCATAAGGGTGGCGTTTTGCCCAGATAGGCGATTTTTGGAAGAGCTTAACTGACTTGATCAGCATTCTTATGTTCATCTTTCAGAAAACAGGAACCTGAGGTAGACTGCAAATTCTCTCGGAAGAGAACTTGCACATCTTCCAACCTGACCAACAATATGTTTCCCTCTTCCATGATGCTCTGTGAATGAAAACACCTTAACAATGTGAGCTGGTGTATTTGCAGAACAACATTTGTCTTATTGTGAAAAACTAACAGTTTGAAAATAATGAGCAGTTGTCATTCCAGATGAAGGATGTGGGTCAGGATGCAGAGAGGGACTCTAGGCATGCCTGAAGGTTTGGGTGTGTTCAATGAGTTTCTTGACTTTGTATCTCAACATAGTCCTCTTCTCTCATGTCATCTGTCTTCAAAGGTAAGAAAGGATCTACCTATCTGTAAAACAATCCATTTCTGAAAATCCCTCCAGATTCAGAAATATGATTCAGTTATATGCTTTAGAAGGTAAAAATGAAGTCCACTTGGCCCCAAGCAATTTGGTGTGCAAATGATATGTACCTAGTGGTATCGTTTATACTACAAGCAATACACTCTCCCAGTACCAGAAAAAGTGAAATAGGGTGCAAATCGACACGCATTTAG